ATGTATATACATATGTGTATTTAAAGACATACTTAAATATTACATTCTCTTCTACCAACCGCAGAGAGTCCACATAGCTGGCCAGTTTGCCAGGGGGTGTTGAATACGGGAAATAGTCTTTGTATGACGACAGGAGACCCCGAAACAGTATGTCTGCAAGTGCAATGAAAGTCATTGAATAAACCTTGATGACACTACCCATATCGAAACTATTGCTATTTTTATAGCAATGGATTGTTTGACTGGTGAGCTGGGTACATTTGTTTGTGGCCGGGAAAGGGGGAAGGAAGAGTTTAATGGAAAAAGCGGACTATTAGACAGGATGTCTGCTAACCCACATGCATTTAAATATGCAACACAGACTACTTTTACCATATAAATAGAAACCCTTGAAACCCTAAACCCCCTACAAAAACCCCTAAAACCCCAAACTCTGAACGATTAATCAGTGGCCTTAGTGCAGGCATTTAGCGGTTCTGATTGTAGGAAGTGAGCTTTGTGCGGAAACTCTGATAGATACCTAATTCAGACAGAACCTGGGCGAAAAGCTGCACTTCTTGCTTGGTCCAACGAACATCTCCTGCCATTGGATAAGCAACGAGAGATATTAAAATTGGGATGAGTCAACAAAAACATATCCAAATCTTACGAAACAAAATAGGAGCTGGTCTTCATTGAATTACACTGAAACACACGGAAAATGCCAAAAGAGTTGACACAGATCAATATGTATAGACTGAGCTCTGTATGTCACCTACTAACACCGTGGTGCAGAAACACTACACGCTTGAACCATTCCAGGACCTTACGGTCCTTCGTACACACACACACACGTATGTACGGCATGCACATGTGCACACACACACGTACAGACATATACACGTACACATGCACACACATACACACAACCACGGGCAAACGCACACATGTACAGGCCCACGTTTACAAGCACAAACCTGCACGTGCACACAGAGATTCTATAGAGAGCGAGCCAACGGAGAATGGGAGTGCACCCATATAGGGGCTTGCACATTCCTGATCAAGCATACAGATAGGATTTAGCTAAACCCTGCCCTAAACCCTAAACCCTAAACATGCAGCGAGAGGGTACACCAGTACGGTACATGCCTCGATTCCTTTAGAGAGAAAAACCAGTCTCGAGATAGGCAAGTGAATCAGAATTGGCTCCTGCACACCCTAACTCTAAACTCTAAACCCAAAACCCAAAACCCTATACCCTATACCCTACACATGCCGATGGGAGGTTTACAAGATCTGTACATGCCTCGATCCAGCTCATGGACGTCCTGCAGCCGTTGGTGGATCATATTGACATCTGTCAGTTCCTGGTGGTAGTTGTCCACAGTGATGCGCAAGTCAGTCAGCACCCGGTACAGCCGGCCCACGCCTGCGCCAATGAGAAGGCGTTTAAATGCAGCTTAGAGTGTGCTCTCGCCAATGAAAAGGCAGCTAATAGTTTTTGAAGGAGCATCTTGTCCAGCGACGTGAATGATTGGTAGGGGTACGATTCTGGTCCAATTTGTTGCAAGCAATCAACTTTCGGCAACCCAACCGCAAGCACAACTTAGTATTCAACGAGTCAGTAATTTGAGACATCAGGTGGATGTCGCAAATGCCCGCGCACTAGGCCAACTACCTTTTAAACATTTGTCGTAAAATATGTTTCAAATAACGAACTGTCACAGAACGCGCCCTATCTCGCATTGTCTTAGTTCCGAAAGCGTATGATACCACACCGTTTACTGGCTGCCGTGATGCAAAGATAAAGATAAAGATAAACTATAGAGTATATAACAAACTACATTAATAGAGACTCTCTAGGTATTGGGTATTGTATACGTATCCGACTGTACATGTACTGTAATACTGCTACTAGACATATACCTGTAAAATCAACCACCTACTAACACTACTGAACAGGACAAATATAAGCAATTAGCACTGCAAATACACATACCGTATCTCAGCCCAAATTCATCGGTTAGCAAGCTCAACCACTCCGGTCTAATGAACGTGTCTGTGTCGCTGTATTGCTGTGATATGGGATGATGATATGAGCTATCGCTTGGTATAAATATATATATATCTATATATATATATATATGTGTGTGTGTGTGTGTGTGTGTGTGTGTGTGTGTGTGTGTGTGTGTGTGTGTGTGTGTGT